CGATCCTGGTAGGAGGATGTGCAGTCAAATACCACCCGAAGCTTCTTCTTTTTCGGGTGATAGACTCCATGGTGCGGTATATAGAACACCCTGTTGTCCTCTCGGGTCAGTTGGTTTGTTGGAACCCGGACTGCATAGCCCTTGGTAATGATTGCTTCCATGAAGTTCTTGTAATCTTCAAAGAACTCAGGACTCTTCCTGAACTTCCTTTTCAAAGACGCAAGGCGTTGCTCTGCCACACTACGATTGTTAGGCATCTGTAGCTTCCCATTACGGAGTGGCAATCCGACACAGTAATGCCCATTCTTAAAAACTGTTGTCTTTTCCACAGACTGCAAAAAGGCTTTGTCTTCTTGAGACAGCTCTTCCTTGTCCTCATAATTGCGTTCTGGGAAGTCAGTGTTGTACTGTTGGATCAACAGGTTCTCTATCTCCTCCAATGAGATTCTGTTCACGAATGAATGAGGTGTTTCATTCTCAACTTCATTTCTCCTTACAGGTCCACTCACAACCCAACCTATGGTCGTCTTGATGGCGTAAGGACCTCCATCCTGGCCGTTAATGATGCGCCAGGGCTTCATCGCTTTTGAACATTTTGCTCCAATAAGTAGGCCTACATCAGCTTTTAACTCTGGCAAGTTCACTTCACTTAGGTACGGCCACTGTTGGATATCAGACTGCTTGGGTATGTTTCCGGCATGAACAGGTATGCTGCTGTGAGTAAACACCTTGGGCAACTCGACGTACATACTGTCCTCCAGCCCACACACTTGGAGCTCTGATAGAACCAGACTATCCATGAGCTTCTGGTTTTCTGGTGCATCTTGACCCATGGTGCTGAGACGTATTTTGGTTGGTTTCCCTTTCACATTCAATTTCTTTTGCAGGTCTTCCGTACAGAATGTTGCTGTGCTTCCCGGGTCTAGAAAGGCGTACGTTTCTACATACTGTTCACTATTTTTCAACTTGACTTTCACCGGTACTATCCACAGCACACAATCAGCTTCTCCGGCCCCTGTGAGGGCGCAAGACTCCTGTGTGATGGGAACCTCAGCAGCTAGCAACTCTTCACCAGTAACGCCATCATTCTTTCTTGGTGAGGCGGAACTGCCTTCTTTTTCTTTGTGCAGAATATCAGGGTGCTTATAACCACATTCTTTGCACTCCATTTTTCGTTTACAGGATTTACTGAGATGTCAAGGGATCAAACAACCAAAACATAGACCCTTTAATTTCAGGAATTCCACTCGTTCTTGATGAGACTGGCCTTTGATCTTACTGCATGAAGCAAGAGCGTGTGACTGCTGACAGTACAGACAGGGTTTATCAAAGGCGTTCACCACTTTTCCATTGCTAGCAGGCTTGACCTTGGCAGTTCTTTCTTGAGGCTCCTTGGATTCAGGAACAACATTGGTTGCAAAACTGCTTCCACGAAACTCCTTTTTCACGGCCTGCTTTCCTTTTTGGTTCATCTTAGCAGCTATGGGTGAGCGACTATCAGATATGTCACCAAAGAGAGGATCGATTGCTATTTTAGCTTGACGGTCTATGAAGTTCACCAAATCAGTAAATCTGGCCCTGTGACCACGTTGTTCTTTGAGGTTGAAAGCTTCTGTTCGCCAACGTTCTTTCATTTTATAGGGTAGTTTGGATATCAATGCACGCAGATTGGTAGGATTATCCATCTCTTCCAAGAACTCGATATCTTCCATAGAGTTACGACATCCTATCAGGAACATTGCGTAAGCATTTAATGCTTTCCCATCCTCTGCTTTCACTTGTGGCCATTTGAGAGCTTTCTCCACGTACGCACTGGCAATCCGAAGCTCATCTCCATAATGCTTTTGCAGAAGTTGCTTGGCTTCCTTGTAGCCCTTTCGTGGTGTCATGTGAGCGCAACTACGAACGAGCTCTTGGGGCTCACCATCTGTGAACTGTTCCAAGAAGTATAGTTTATCTTGGTCATTGTCTGTTTTCTGCTCTATGGCATGTTCAAATGCTCTCATGAAAGACTTGAACTGCAGCGCATCACCTTTGAACACAGAAATGTCCTTTGTAGGTAGCTGCGAAAGCTGTTGTTGCTTTACTAGCAATTCAGTTATTGCGTTCTGCTTCTGCATGACTGACACAATGTCATTCCCTGTTTGTGTTCTAGCAGTTTGGTTTGAAACTATCGGTGGTAGTTGTGTTATTTGTGTGCGCTGCACTTGTCTTGGTGCTTGAACATTCATTGTAGCATATCCCGGTAGCGACATGCTAACTCTTTCCTTCTTTATGTTTCCACTTATCGATTTTTGCGCTGACACATGACTACCTCTGTCTTCTTCCAATGTTTCATACTCTTTAAGCACTTGTATTCTTGCTTGGCTTTCAGCTAATGCCGTTTCCAATTCTACTTCTTCCTTTTTTGCTCTAATTCTAATTTCTTGGAATTCAAGCTCCTGTTTTTTCCTCAACGCTTCTTGTCGTTTCATTAGAGCGGCATGCTCTGCTTCCTGACGGGCACGTGTGGATGATACACGTGAGGTGTTGGAAGCGTTACTTACATGAGAGTGTGCTTTAGCAACATTACTGCACCCTATCTGTGAAACACTGTCATTAGGCAAAACAGCATCTTCTTCATCTATCAGGTTTTCCCCCTCTGTGGAATCATGCACCCCTGCCAGCCATCTTTTAGTTTCTTTCATGAAGCCTGTTATCTGATCCATTTTTGGTTCATACCAATTATTTTGGTCATGAAATGTGTCCTCTTCAGACAACAGATTGCAAACTTCCACATTGAGCCTATTAAACTCGTTTAGAGACTGTGCAAAATCACTTTCCATCATAAGCTGAACACTTTCCACAGTTTGAGCATCACACTTCAATGTCTCTATCTCTTTAATTTGGCTGGTTAGAGTGGCTAACGTTCGTCTTCTTAATCCCATGAATCGTTGTAATCTTTCCTCAGCGCCCTTCTCAGTTAGTTTGCGCTCTCTCTTCTTTTCCAGTTTATCCTCGCCACGCGTGTCAGCATTTACGTCAGCCATCATATGATCACGGAGTTAACGTGCAGTAAGCAGGCACAAAGTTTAAAGCACGTACTTCAACGTTGCCTTTCTTCTCTAACTGAGTGCAAACAAACTGTTCATATTTCACAAAAGCTCCACATTGACCGAATCCGTTACTGACATGCACACTTGTCTCGGATAATTAACTGCATCCAGTGGAATTTACTGACGCGCTTTAACTTTAACTTTCGTCAGCGCTCCTTCGTTCCTCCGTATAACGTCTTTTCTTTGCAATATTCAAAGATAAAAAAGCCTTTTCGTTACCTTTTCTGGGAGAATCATTCAAAGGGTTACCCGTTTCTGTCTCTTTTTTCTCTCAGCGAGGCGCGAGCTTCTTTTCTCTTCAGCCGCGTTGTCCAGGCAAAAAGAAACGCGGCTCCATTAGCAAATTTTTTGACTTTATGTAGTGGCACTCTGCGTCCCAAAAGTTTGTCGTACCACCTTTGCAGTTAGTCTAGCAACCAATATCTGAATAACTCGACTGAAACCAAGTCTTCTTTTACGATATTTACTTGAACAACTCAAAAAAGTACACTTGCAGAAAAATAAAATAAATAAAAGGCTCGGTACAGATCGGTCAAAAAATTGTGTTGCTTCCACCGTATCGAACTGCAATCTAAACTTAAACGTGAATACGGGCAATATTATTGTTACGCATTACGTAGTGGAAGCCAAATTACTTTTCACAATAAAAGCATCATTATACATCAACTAAATTATATATTCTAGAAAATATACTCATCAAGAATTCCCCAAAAAGTAAATTAAGCATATTTATACATTTTTAATCTAAATTATTATTCTATATGAACTCCCCATTAACTGGCTCTTACATTACCCGGCCCCTAATTGGTTAGGTTGGAAAACGAAGCAATTATAAACTTAAAACACAAAGAGCCAAATCCTCAAATAAAAGAATGTCCACATATCAACTTCTTCTTCATTAGTCCTCTGGCGTAGCTTCCTGAAGCAGGCATAGCTTGTTCACAGGTCGCTCCAGCGTGCTGGTTTTGGTCTTCAACTTCACTCTTCTCACTGTTCCACTTGAGTCTGGCAGTGTTTCAACTACTCTTCCCATGATCCAGGAGTTGCGGGGGGAGGAACTGTCCACCAAAAGCACTACATCGCCTGCCATGAAGTTTCTTCTAGGCTTCAGCCATTT